TATTTTTTCATGCGGCATGATCATGTAGACCTTACATATAATCAACGGCTGATATATTTTCGTTTTCATTTTTGGTCCTGTCAATCAGTGCACTCAAAGAGATAAATCTCTCTTTGAGAGGGGGAGTGGGAATACATAAACATAAACCTCTATACTTTACTTGGCATGCATTTAATTTGCTGCTTGAATAACTCAACCTGAGTATATTTTAAATATTCATATCTTATTATTGTTCATTTTGATGACTCATGCCACAGACATTTATATTTAATTCTAAATTATTGTGCCACTTTAATGTTGATGCATCTCATGTATTATTGATTATTGATGAACTAATGGTATCTTGTCAAGTTCTATGTTTAGAATGAATTCTTACAGGTCTCAAGAGTTTGTTAACTCCTTGGCTTGGAAGATTCGGAAATATGTTATCAGCTTTTAAACTTATCAGTTCATCAGAAAATACTATTGGCCTTTGAGCCCATTAGCTATTGGCTTTTTTAGCTCATACGATCTACAAGAGCTTGCATCCATCAACTATCAGCTTCTCAGCTCATTTGTTCTATGAAAGCTCAGTTCAATCTTAACTCTGCAAAGCACAACCCTTAAAGGGGTTTGATTTTATGCTATGACTTGAGAGACCAAGATTTTCTTATGGGCATCTCAAGGTGGGATTCTGTGGTGAGCATCTCCAGCTACCAAAATTGGCATTCAGTCAACTCTACAAAAACTAGTTTTGATCCTAACTCTATAAAGCATGACTCTCAAAAGCCTGACTTCCATTATTATGGCTCATGAGATTGCAAATCGTCACTTTCGAGTCGTCATTTTCAAGTCATCATTCTCAGTTACAACCATAACACATGATTATGGGTCATGTATCTTTACTTCAGCTACGGCCACAGTGACCGCGAGTCACACATTTTATTTTAGCTCCAACCACATGACTTCAATCATTACTTTTATTTCGGCTCCGGCCCTTATGACTCCGGTCAATGCTTATTACCTTGGCTCCGGCCACATGACTCCAGTCATTACTTATTATTTCGGCTCCGGCCATAGTGACTACGTGTCACCTATTTTACTTCGGCTCCGGCCTCAGTGATTACGTGTCACATATTTTACTTCGGCTCCGGCCTCAGTGACTACGTGTCACCTATTTTACTTCGGCTCCGGCCATAGTGACTACGAGTCACCAGTTCTACTTTGGCTCCGGCCATAGTGACCTCGAGTCACATATTTTACTTTAACTTCGACTATAGTGGTCCCGAATTACATATTTTACTTCGGCTCCGG